GGGAAAAAGGAGAAACAGCCCTGACCAGCACGAATTTCATTGCGAAGGCCACGGGACTTGGTGAATACGGAGGGTGTAAGGCCAGGAAGGTCTTCACGGTAAGAACAGGTCTCACGGTAATTTGTTGCGTTTTCTGAAATCACAGGCATTTCAACTGATTGTCAGTTTTCTTCCTTCAGCATTTTCTTTCCGACGGTCCAATCCAACTTCTTATCCATAGTGCCTAGTGATTCCGCTAATACGCTTTCTGTTTTCGTAGAATTTCTCGTATTTCTTTTTCCATACGTATTGCTACTCAATCTGGTGCATTGGACGACGTCAAGAATCAGCTGGGTCTGTAGGTGGTAGTAGTAAGGTCCCGGATGTGCCAATGTTTGGTTACGGCGTTTCGAGAGGTCAGAAGTGCAGACCCGCTAGGCCGCTGAAGCTTCTCCTACTCGGCGATTATGGTAAGCAACGCATGTGTGATTATAGGAGATGGTGGTTCCTTCCTGAACAGCCATAAGTGGTCCGCACCATTATTCTCATCTATTGTCCCACTCGTGTCAAATCATGTGGGTTCTATTTCCACGTTGTCATTCACTAGGGAGTCACTTACTCCGCATTCTGCATTTGCGTTTCTATGGACGTCCATTGCAGCGGTGTGTAAGAGCGGTCTCCTTCGGAGGGAGGGAAGGAGAGATGTTAATTGAGGCTTTAAGCTTGAGACCCTTACCTTGCATTCTGCATTTGCATTTTTCTGGATGTCCATGGCAGCGGTGGGTAAGAGCAGTCTCATTCTTCGGCTTTGTCACCGCCAGTTCTGGACTCCAACGTCTCACCCTGCGTATGTAAAAATCACAGCACTTTCTTTCTCCACTTCTTTTCCTTTTCCCCCTACCCCCGATCCCCCTCAACTGTCTCCACTCACTTCCTCTCTAGCTATCTCTCTCCCTCTCTCGCTCTTGCTTCCGAACGGTCTTTTGTAGTTCAAACAGTGTAAGCACATAACAACGATCACACACACCATCGCACGCAAATGCATACATATCGATTTGACAAAATGAGTCAAGTGTGTGGTTTCTGTATATATGAACGATTTTTCTTTTGTGTTTGCAGAAATGACTGTTTTATTCGCATGATGGACATTGATGGCAATCAAGTGAGAGTAGGCATTTGGGATACATTAGGCCTTGAGCTGCATCGAACCATCCCTGAATGTACACATATCGCTTAACCTGCTCTCACGCTCACTTATTTCCAGTTCAAACAGCAGGCGCGTCTCAATTTGTTTGAATATGTTTCAATCTATTTCGTCCTGGTGCATGTTAGAGCCACCGTTCCTTGCCACATGCATTGTCATCGCCAGGATTGCATTTCGTTTCTAATACTCTCACCTATGTGCACTTGGTGTAATATAATTTAGCTCAAACCACACCCAATATGCTTAAACATGTGCTCTTGGCAGCTTACTCCCGGAACACGCATGGCATCATGCTATTATATGACATCACCAGCCGGTCATCTTTCAATAGTAAGTAACCACTATGTTCGCCTGTTCACTTGTTGAAGTGCCTCCCTTTGGTTCTTAGCACCTTCGGTTTTAACTATTGTTTTATGCACATGGTTGTGCAGATGTGAGAGGGTGGATGAGGAGCGTTGAGGAGCATTCACCTCAAGGGGTTGCTGTGCTTCTCGTGGGCACCAAGGCCGATATGGACGACCAACGGGTATGCTCTTTGACACAGCCCAAAATACCACATGTTGTGACAGCTAATGTGCAAGCGTTATTCAATAAAGAATTCAAACGTCACACTTTTTCATTTATGAAATCTGCATATCCTTGGCTCTCTCTCTCTCTCTCTCTCTCTCTCTCTCTCTCTCTCTCTCTCTCTCTCTCTCTCTCTCTCTCGAATGGTCCTCGTATTGATTGATGGGTGATACATGGGAAGATGCAAACACAAGCATATACTAACATAACACACGGTTTTCCTAACTAACCTTGTCCCCTACATCCTCCCGCCCCCTCCGTCCGACCCTAGTGGTCGAACGGGGGCTCAATCAACTGGTAGAGCTGGCCCTCACTAAGGGGGGCAAAGGGGCCCCGCAGGCCGAGCTCGTCCGCTGCTATCGCCTCGTTGGTCTTGCAGCGGAGGGCGTTGGCTTGTGATTTTTGGAGGCACACGCTCCAGCGCTGGCGGTATTCCGTCAGCAGCTTGGCGGCCTCGTAGGAGTTGGGGGCTGCGTTGAATCGCAACTTGGCCGCCAGCTCCGCGCACTGCCGCAAGAATGCCAACACCCCGGGCGAGGGGTACCCATATGTCTCTACTGCTAGGGCATGAAAGCCCACCCACGCATTCCGGCGCGCGTATTTCTGCTCCTTCTTGTCCGCAGCTGCCCTAGCCGCCCACCCCGGTGCTCTGTTGCAGTTCTCATCTTGGTGAGAAACGGGGTCCGTCACTGTCACGTCGCACATCCATACTTCTCCCGTCCGGGGATGGCGGATTGTGACGTCCGCCTTCAGGTTTTCAACGAGAGAGTATACATAGGTTTCTTTGTGCACCGTGAATCCCGCCTCTGCCGCAATTAAAGCAATCTCGTCCCTGAGCGCATGGTGAGTCGCAATCCTCCCCCCCCCTTTCTCGCAGCGCATGAGATGGTTTGGGAGGCGGTCATCAGGGAATTTGGTGCGGTAGCGGCAGTCGCAGCGCCTGGGGACAGGTAGGGGGAGGCCCAGGCGGAAGGCAGCAGCGGAGGAGAGCTGGGAGGGTCCCATCCTGAGCGAGGGTATGATGGGTAGCGCCAGCAGCCAATCTCCCGCGCCAGGGCCGAGCACCGACTGCATTCTCTGGGCATGGCCAGAGAGGGGGTTGGGGCGCATCCGCCTTGCCTCGTTCATGACCCTCAGGAAGCGGCGTGTCTGAACCGCCAGCGCTAGAGACTGCTGCAGCTTGAGGCCCTGTGGGTCTGCTTTCCCGGCCTGGAGAGCTTCTAGAGCCTCGGGGGGGAGGGCTGCTTCCGCTGCTGCAAGGCGTGCAGGCAGGGCGTGCGCGGAGCCGGAGGTGGGGTCCATTAGGGGGAGGAGGGCTGCTACATCTGGGTGGAGTGCCTCGGCCAGGGAGTGCAGTAAGTGGGAGGTGCCCACCACCGACGCAAGGTACGCATAGCTCCCTTCAACTGCAGGATTTGTAATGCCAAGCCCCCCCAATGTTACGGGCAGCGCCGCCTGCCTCCAGATTCTCCTCTGTTCCGCGTCACTCCTTGGCAGCATGATATGGGCCGCGTCCAGGAAGGTATGCAGCAGTTGCTCCCCCCATGCCGCCCATTCATCCTCAGGTAGTGCCTCTAGCGGAGTGGTTCTGGCCAGGAAGGATGCCCGCCGGCCCACGCAGCGGGTGAGTAGCAGCAGGCACAATTGGGGGTCCATTTGGGCCAGGAGCGGCAAGGGTTCTGCTGCTGCTGCTAGCCTTTCCCTCACTCTGGCGGCACAACCATCTGGGGTCCCGATTGGGCTTCCTAATATCCGCAGTCCGTCTGCTGCGATGGGGAAGCTCGGAGGGAGAGAGGCGGGGTCTATGGCGGCTGCAGACCAAGCCTCACACTTCCCAAGGTTGTGCTCGAGGCCTATGTGGATCAGTGCGGCAGTGAGGTGTGTGAATGCCGCCGTGCACGCTTCTGCCTCGCCTAGCAGCGTTATGTCGTCGGCATAGGCGAGAATGACGACCCTTGGGTGAGCTAGTGCCGTTGCGGTAAGGTGTGGGTGGATGCTTGCCGCAAAGAGCAAGGGGCCAAGAGGGTCCCCCTGGCGGACGCCTCTAGCACTTAGCAGTGGAGCCACGCCGAAGTCGTGGTCGAGGTGGAGTGCTGAGGGAGTTCCGTAGGAGAGGCGGACAAGGGGCAGAAGGCTTTCAAGGGACTCGTTCTTGAGCCCCTCGAATACCGCCGCCCTTTCCACCGCGTTAAACGCGTTGGCGAGGTCAATCTGCAGCGCCACCGAGCCCGGGTTCTCCTCCAGGTATGTGCGCGCAGTGTGAATGGCCGCCTCAATCCCTCCAGCCACTGCTACCCCGAACTGTAGAGGCGCGAAGTGTGATTGTGCCGCCGCCCCAGTCAGGAACAGTGCTGCCTTGGCCACAATGCGAAGAAGGCATTCGCCCACGGCTATCGGTCGGGTCCCCCCCTGCGGTTTTGTGAAGGCCAAGAGCCGTGAGGCTGTGAGGAGCTCGGTGGCTTCGCTGCTGAGTTTCCCGGCTATAGCTGTATTGGTAAGTGCGAGAAGGTGGGCGAAGATGTCTGGATTTCCGAGTGCAGCATCGCGTATGTGCTCGAAGGTTGTGCCTGAGGGCCCTGCTCCCACCCCGTTTGGGAGTTTGGCTATGATGCGCCTGAAGTCGCGCGGCTCAATCGAAGGGGTTTTCTCGGGGGAGAAGGTGCGTATCCATTCTGGTAAGGGCTGGAGTGCTTGCGGGTGTCGAGCTGCTAATGCCGCGTACACTTCGGGGGAGGCAGGTGAGACCGGAGTGGCATGGAGGGACTGTAGTGACTTGGCCAGGTTACCACGCTTGGCCAATCCCTCCGCTCTGGCAAGGATGCCCTGAGTGTCAGGTACGTGACGTGGCTGGGCTGGGAGGGAAATTGCTTCAACTGCCTCGTCATACAGGCCAGACCAGAATCTCTGGCGAAAACGGAGGAGGCGATTCATCATCGCGTTCCAGTCTGGTTTGCGAGCTGACGAGGTGCGTAGGAGGATTCGCGGGAGGAAAGTCAGTAACCTCCACCCCGCGGTCGAGTTGGGATTGGCTGCCAGGTGGAGGAGTGGGGTGAGTAGGCAGACTGCGAATGATTCGCGAAGGTCTTTTGGCGGGTGACGGGCGAGGGGCGGCTGGCGACTGTCGCGCAGTGGGTCCAGGTCCCAACCTGCGACTTGCGCGAAAAGGTCCAGTCGTTTCGCCAAGTCGCCTGGGTGGATCATTGGCGGGGTTGGGGTTGGGGTTGGGGTGTTCCTATTGGCTGCGGCAGAGTCAAATGTGATTTCTGCCGCGGTTCGATTCCCCCTCCAGGCCTGATTTCCCCCCACATTCCGATTCCTGGCAGGGGTTCGTGTTGCAGACGCGGCTCCAATTTGTTGGTCCGGAAACTCAGCCCCACGAACCAAGAGCTCCTCATCATCTTCGTCAGCTTCAGCATCCAAACCTCCCTCCGTTTCGGGGTTAAAACCTGGGTCACCCTCGTCACTCTCGTCATTCTCCGATTCACCACTCTCCTCCCTGCTAGCGGCTTCCTCGCCGCCTTCTGCGCCTTCCCGGAGTAGTCGTTCTGCTGTCCTCGCATAGCCGCTCGCGCCTGTACGTCGGCCTCCTCTCCTCCCAGCTCCTCTTCCTCGGCGTCCTCTCCCGCCTCCGCGTCGTCCGCCAGGTGTGCCACTCCCCGCGACTGGGCTGCGCCTTCCAAGCGTGCGGTTTTCGCCGATCTCCTCCCCTGCCAAACGGGGCTCTGGCGTCCTCGGCTCACGCCTCGGTCGTGATGGCGGGGTCCGTGGGTCGCGACCGCGCCTTGGAAGCAACCGCGGAGAGCGCTCAGCTTGTTGCGCAGCCAAACCCCGAGCCTGCGCCTCCGCGTCCCCAAGTGCAGGCTCGTCCTGCTGCGTCGGCGCCCGTGCGCCGTCTTGAGCGCGGGTTGTCTCTTCCGCTGCGCGGGGCGGATCGTCACGCGTCTCCTGAGCAATCCCATGCTCCCCTTGTCGTCGCGTCGAATGCCGAGCCAGCTCGACAGGAGCGGGGTCGGTCTCCGCAGCGTCGGGGATCTCGACCCGCGTCCCCTGTGTTTCGCGCCCCTGAGCCGCACGAGTCGCGGCGGAGGTGGGAGGAATATCAGCGGGATCTTCGGCGCCGCGACCGCCGCTACCACTCTCCTCACAGGTCGCCGGACAAGCAGTCTCCGCGGCGGCGTTCCCCTCATCAGCGGTCGCCGCATCCGTCACCTCCACGTCGGGGCCGCGGGGCTCATGCGGGACGCTGGGAGTCGCGTCGCAGGGAGCCTTCCCCGCCCCGTCCTCAGTCGGCTGGCTCTGGCGGACGTCGTGGGCGGCGGAATAATTCCGCGCGCAGCGGAGGTAGTCGCGGCCAGGGCTCCGCGGCTGACCGCGCGGGGAATATGGTAGCAGATGTGGTGCGGGAGGTGCAGGCGGCGGGGGCGGCGGCTCATGTCCATGTGTCTGTGACCACTGAGCCCCCCGCCGGCGCTGTTGCGGTTGATGCGGCTCCGTTGCGCCCGCCGACATTGCGGGAGTATCTGCCAGCTGCAGCGGCGAGGGGGCCATTCCGCGGGCGCCGCCTAGCTCCTGGGTTCCCCGCTCCTCTGAATTCGAAGGGCCATGCTCCGGGCCTGGTGGCGGCGTTTCCGCCGCGCGGAGTTCCGACTGCACCTCTCCCCAGCCGCGCGGGGAGAGACCCCACGCTGAGTATGTGTCGGATGTGGAATTTGGCGGGGGCGGCTGAGGGGGTGGCGAGCTTGCAGCTGGCGGCGTGTGAGGCCATGCGTCACACACCGAGCAGTTTTGCTCAAGGGCCCCAAGGACAGTGCGTCGCTTGGGCAGGAGAGATTGTCCCCCTTTTATCGCCCGTGTCGGATGCGCCCGCCGGGGTAGCGCCCTTAGCCCGTACCTTTCCCCGCCTCGCTCTTGATCTTCACGCTGCGGCTCAGCACGGGACCCCTGTTGACACTCTTCGCTTCTCGGCGGAGCTTCTCCACGCGATGGCGGGGTGTCTTCTCGCGATGCTTGAGGCGGAGGGGGCTGGCCTGTACACGCAGTAGCGCGGCGTCTCGTGTAGTATTGCATTTTGATTGTTTAGTGCTGCTCTCCAGTTGCTTGTCCCTCTCTGTTGCATATGTCAAGCTTGGTGTTCTTCTTGCTTGTGTGTCTTGCCACCGAAACGCGCGGCCGAAGGCCGCCGGCGCGAGCCGCTGGGAAAATGAGAACACACGAAATAATGAGCAGGAGAAGGCACCAAGGGCCCTTAAATAGGCTCAGAGGAAGAGGGCCGAGGGCAGAGGAAGAGGGCTGGGTGCTAAGGCCTTCTCTCTCTCGCTCTCTCCGCTGGGAAAATGAGAACACACGAAATAATGAGCAGGAGAAGGCACCAAGGGCCCTTAAATAGGCTCAGAGGAAGAGGGCCGAGGGCAGAGGAAGAGGGCTGGGTGCTAAGGCCTTCTCTCTCTCTCTCTCTCTCTCTCTCTCTCTCTCTCTCTCTCTCTCTCTCTCTCTCTCTCTCTCTCTCTCTCTCTCTCTCTCTCTCTCTCGAACGGTCCTTCGTATTAGTAGCAGCAATGGACAGGCAAGAGTCGGCAACATCTCAGAACTCAACAAGGCAGAGTTACACTAGTCTAAACTAACACCACACTAATCCCACACCCCTCCAAACTCCCCCACCCCACGGCCCTACTGGCCAGTGGGGTCTTCAATCAGCTGGTACAGCTGCTCCTCGCCTAGCGGCTCGAATGGGCCCTGCAGGCCAAGCTCGTCCGCGGCTATCGCCTCGTGGGTCTTGTCACGCAAGGCGTTGGCCTGGGCCCGCTGTAGTGTCACACTCCAGCGCTGCCGGTACTCCGTGAGGAGCTTGGCCACCTCCCTGGACTTCGGAGCTGCGTTGAACCGCCGCTTGCCTGCGAGCTCGGCGCAACTGCGGAGGAAGGCGTGCACTCCAGGGGAGGGATAGCTGTACGTCTCTACCGCCATGGCGTGGAAGCCCACCCAGTCATTCCGCCGCGCGTATTTGTACTCCTTCCTTGCGGCTTGCATCCGTGCAGCCCACCCTGGCGCCTTTCTCTCTCTCTCTCTCTCTCTCTCTCTCTCTCTCTCTCTCTCTCTCTCTCTCTCTCTCTCTCTCTCTCTCTCCCCCCTCTACAACCACCTCTCCTGTGTGCATAAGGCTATCAGCAAGGAAGAAGGGCAGCAACTAGCCAATGAATTGGATGCACACTTCTTTGAGACTGTACGTATCCGTTTTTTCCATTAACCTGTTGGTTAGATGTGAAATACGGGTATGAATGTGGCACCTTTTTGTCTTTTGATTTACTGCTTGTCTACTGCCCGCATGCTGATTGATTTCCCCTATAAAAATCAGGATGAATTTCTTGTGATTTTGCCATGTACCGTACAAGGTATGCATTTTCATTGTTTGATCTGATGGTTGGAAAGCCTCATTGATTTGATCTCATGGGTCAACTCCCCCCCCTTAATTCCCTCCTCCCGTCCTCCCTCCGATGCTGTGTTACTATATGCAGTCAGCCAAAACAGGCATAAATGTGGATGCTGTGTTTGAATACATTGCAAGGGAAGGCAAACAGCAATATGATAAAACAAACTCTCTGCATATGGAGGTAAGCATTTGTTTTCATATCATAATCGCGTTGCCTCAACAGCCTTTAATGCGTTTGTTTTCCACAGATTCGCTCTTAATATAATTTTTATTTGTAATGCAAAGTGGCGCGTTGAAATCTTTATGTTCTTTGGGTGGAATTTACAGGCATCAAGCTGTGTTGATCTTGAACAAAAGACAGCAAATGTAGTTTCCATAACCTCATATTGTGCGTAATATCTATCCATAATGCTTTGAAATGTAGCTCAAGGTTAAATTTGATATGTTTTTTCCCCTGAAAAGTGTATACTGCCGCCGGGAGAGTGTACATGTGCGTCCTATCAGATAATGCTGCAAAAGGTGACTGTTTGTCTTACAAAATGGGAAAGAGTTGCCGTTACAAATCTTATAAACTACATTTTCTACAAGCACCCTATTTTCCAGCGGCACCGTCACTAGGGGGTATTCTCAGCTCACTGGCAACCGTCGATTTGACTTGCTTGTTGGCTGGTTATCGACGGAGGTCCGTCGATATTCTGACTTCACACAGCGGGGAAACGAGGGTTTGGTGACAGAAGTATGCCACGCACGCCACGAGGACGCTGGCCTCACTTCCAAGCAACGACAACAGCTCTGTTCTCCGACTTGGAAAGCTTAGCTTTTCAAAGCTGCTGCTGCCCTCCACATTTGCAACCAGGTTTTCTTTTCCTAATTCTCCAGATCCGAGAATTGTAGCCGTTGTGCCTGGTTCGTCGCCTGCATCTGCTTCCGCTTCTACTCGCCATCTCTATCGGTGGAGATTCGTAATTTTCCGCGTGCCATATCTTGACGTGTGCTGCTTACAGTTCCGTCATCATGGCTTCCGAGCTTGATCAGTCCCTCGACGATATCATCAAGTCTAAGAAGTCGTCTGGTCGCGGCGGCAGCCGAGGGGGACGCGGATCCGGACCTGGTAGGGGCTATGGTCCTGTTCGCAGATCCGGACGAGGCGGATTTCGATCAACACCATATGGCCAGGCAAGCGGATCTTCTATCTCGCCATCCAAATCCCACACCTGGTTTCTCTCTTGAGAGCCAGGAAGGCTTTTCAGAACACCTTATTCTGCAAGGATTTCTCCGCTTCATCTCTCGTCCTCGCTGGGAAGAATCGTCCAGGAGATTGTTAGAATTCGTCGATGCCGTTCAAGGGGTGTGATTATTCCACGATGAGCGGCTTACGGAGAGCCGTTTGGTGGGGTCGGTTGTCGTGGAATCGTCCAACTCTCTGTCGCTCAGCTCCTGGTTTTCGGGAACGCCTGACGTGGCTCCTGTTTTACCTCGAACCATCGTGGCGGGCTGACATGTTGGTGACAACTGACCACATCATTTTTCTTAATTACACTGCTAAATATCTCAAAGCTGTGCACGTGGAGTATGTAGCATTAGTCCGTCGGTTCGGATCAATAGTTACGTTGGTTTGGAACAGGCACATGCATGCGCAGCTCTGCACGAGCTCTGTTCACACGATTTTTTGTTTCTTGTTGTTTTCGCCAGCCTGCTGCCATGGTAACTGACCGTGCCTGGCAACACGACATTTACGATGCTGGCGCAGTTGCTGTTCCGGCAGCTGGACGTGCCGCAGGACAAGGCATCGAGACAGGGACGAAGCTGTATGTGTCGAATCTGGACTACGGCGTGTCGAACGACGACGTTAAGGTGCGAATTAAGTCTTCATTTAAGTTGTTATGTCTTGTTCCTGTCTATGATTTAATGGCTGAATTTAAATTCACCGTCTTCTGTTGCAGGAACTCTTTTCGGAGATTGGAGAGCTCAAGCGCTTCTCGGTTCACTATGACAGAAGTGGGCGATCTAAGGTAGGCACATGCTTTCTTTTTACCTCTTGTAATGTTATACTGTTCTTACCGTTATCAGTGCTGACATCCTTGTTCTAAATTAACCTCACAGGGCACAGCGGAAGTTGTGTTCGCACGGAAAGCGGATGCCTTGGCAGCCATGACCCGGTACAACAACGTTCAGTTGGACGGGAAACCTATGAAGATTGAGCTCATCGGTTCCACCGTTGCTCCTGCTGTTCCGCCTGTCGCGAGGGTGGCAGTTGCACCAGCTATTGTCGCGCCGTTTGGCTTTCCTGCAGGGTAAGCTTTGCGCAACATTACATGTCTCTTCTAAATTCTCTCGTGTCGGTTTTAAATTGGGCTGACGCTTCTCTTGTTTCCCTTTTTGCTTGTTTACCAGGGGCGGTGGGTTTGGTGGACGAGGCCGAGGTGGAAGGGGAGGTGCTCGAGGTCGGGGCCGGGGGAGAGGCAGAGGCAGGAAGTCAGAGGCTCCCAAGACCCAAGAGGAGCTTGATGCAGAGCTTGACCAGTACAACGCTAAGAAGGACACTATGCAGTCTTGAGCGCCATGGTTTGTTGCTGCCATACTGCAGGTTCTGTTTCGTATCCGCCTACATTATAGGCACTTATTTAGGTATCGTGAAAGCCAGATTGGTCTCGTTTTTGTGACAAGTGTGAGTAGATGGTAGAAAGAGCAGCATCTAACTATATTTGATTGCCTCACACTGTTGACGAAGGAGTTCACCATTTTCCAGTACAGATTTCGAAGTGTCTGTAAGAAACCCCCTAAGATAGGAAAAGGTATTATGCTATAAAATAGGTATACCGTATGTAACAGAATGTGTTGTTTTATAGTGGCTACATGAGAAAGCAGCTTTCTAAATGATAATTTCAAATTTTTGCTGGAAACTTGGCTGGATATCCAGGCTAGCGAATGCAAACAAGCAGCATAAAGAGGGCTTTAAGCGCCGTATTACGGTAAGTATGATCCAGCACGTGAATGTACTGTACGGTACTGCTGTACAGTACCACATTCACTACGGGCAGGAACAATTTATTTAGATTGAGGGACTGCTCACTGTATCTTACAACTACTAACCTACCACCCTCCGAAATTGAGAGCTGCATATCCCCTATTCATGCGTCCATTCGTCATTCTCAGGCCATTGATTAGCCGGTTCCAGTTGGACTTGAGGGGACCAATGAAATAATCGCACTCCGACGCTATAATGAGGTTGGCAAAGCTCACCCCCACCAGCAGCTCTACACCCGCGTCCTGCTCATAAGCCACCATGGCTGTTGCTCCTGTCTGCCTCTTGTTGCGAGTGTAGAAGAAGGTCCAGTCCTTGTATGCTCGAGACTGCTGAACAACTGACTGTAGATGAGAAAAAACAGTTTGATTGTGAGAATGGGGGAGGAGCGGTGAAGGGAATGGGGATGGGAGTGAATGAGACTGATGCAAGCAAGCTCCACACACTCACTTTTCGCTCTGCTCTCACCCACTCTCCCTCTCCTCTCCTTGCTCCCTCAAGAGTCAATACATGTCTCCTTCCCAATCTCACACTCACATTCACCCCTCTTTCCGACCAACCCGCTCACCTCCATTTCTGTGCTGAGCCACGCGTACTGCAGGTCGGGCGTGTGGGAGCGGAGGCGGTGCGCGAGGAACATGTAGGAGGCGAAGGAGGAGAGCTCCATTTCTATTGCCTTGTCGCCCTGCCGCACATGCACGCTCACCACCGGCCGTGGCATGTAAACCTCGCCGCCCACCCCCTCGTACACCGAATCCACAATGCCTTGCGGCGTGTAAGTGAGCGGGAGAGAGGAGGAGGATGATGAGGAGGAGGAGGGAGTGAGGTCGAGTTGACGGGCGGTTTCCGGAGAGACGTGCGTTTCGGAGGAGCAGCCGTCGAAGCCTAGAGCCGGCCAGGCTCTGGTTTCAAGGGAGGTTTGCGGGGTGAAGGAGAGAGCTGCTAGCACAGCTGCTTCAGACGATGCGTTGATCTTGAGATTGTCTGGGTTGGCCGAGTCTTGGAGGGAGGGAGAAGGCGAGGAGGAGGAGGGAGAGGAGAGGGAGGCGATGATGTTTTGCTGCTGCAAGAGGGAGGAGACGAGGCGGGTGGCGACAGGCAGGCCGTAGGCCTCGTGGCGGGCGCGGTTGGTGAGGTGGCAGAGGTAGGCGGAGGGCCAGCGGAGCATGAAGCGGAAGGATTGCGCGCGCCACCAGTGCACCTGCAGGTACGGAGGGTTCTCCACGCGCACCCGCCCCATCACCTCCGTGTCCCCCCTGCTCTCCAGATATGCTGTGCCCCACCGCCTGGTGTGAGAGAGATGGGAGGAGGGGAGGGGTTGGAGAGGCGCAGGAGAGACGAGAGAGTGAGCCTCCACATTGCCTCCGTGTCCCCCCTGCTCTCCAGAAACGCTGTGACCCACCGCCTGATGGGAGGGAGATGGGGATGGAAAGGACGGGGTTTAGAACAGGCGCAGGTGAGAGAGTTTGATCGGCCCCTCCGTGTGCCCCCTTCTCTCTAGAATTGCCGTGCCCCCCTCTCTGTCATCTGGCAGTATGCAACGTGCAATGCAGGGGGTACTGGATTGTGAGGGACCAGATGCCTGAATCAGATGCTTGAATCAAATGCCTGAATCAAATGCCTGTTGCCTCAAAGAGTCTCACCGGGCAGCTAGCGCCGTGGCATGGGGCGGAAAGGGCGGAAAGGTCGACTCAGTGGAGAGCAGAACGCGCCTGTCAGACCCCATCAGCGCCTCCATCCCCTCTGCGCCCATGCCCTTGAGACTCGTAGCCAGCACGCTCACCCCACCCCCCCTCCAATGCAATCTCTCTCACCTGGCAGCAAGCGCGGTGTCATGCGGGGGGAACGTAGACTCGGTGAAGAGCAGAACGCGCGCGTCGGATGCCAGTACCGCCGCCATCTTCTCTGCGCCCGTTCCCTTGGGGGAGTCATAGCCGCCACGCTCACCCCACCCCACCTCCAATCACCACCACTTCCGATCCACCCCCTCTCCCCCCTCCAATGCAACCTCTCTCTCACCTAGCAGCCAGCGCCGTGGAATGCGGAGGAGAAGTCGATTCAGTGAAGAGCAGAATGCGCGCGTCGGACGCCATTAGCGTTGCCTGTGCTCCCAGCATTGACGCCTACTCTCAAGGTGCCTCAAGAGTCTCACCTAGCAGCAAGCGCGGTGGAGTGCGGGGGAAAAGTAGACTCAGTGAAGAGCAAAACGCGCGCGTCGGACGCCAGCACCGCCGCCATCTCCTCTGCGCCCATGCCCGTGGGACTTGTAGCCAGCACGCTCACCCCTCCCCGCGTCACCACCTCCCGCACCCCGCCCTTCCCTGCTGGCCCTGCTGCTGCGACGGCTGCTATTGCTTCGAGTGCGGCTTCGTCGCACGAGGGGGCGACGAGGGGGAAGAAGTAGCAGGAGAAGGAACCTTGATCAGCGCCTGGGAGGAGATGGGGAGGGATTGGGAGGGCAAAAAGCACACAAGTTGTTGTGGTGAGTCACGGTTACCAGGGTTACTGGAGCAGAGAATGTCTTGTCACAGGAGCAGGAAGACAAATCGCAATCTGCGAGCAAACAAAGGTAACTGTGCGATGAGGGAGAGACGAGCGGGAAGAAGTGGCAGGAGAGAAAAGAGGAATGGGGAACAGGTGAGAGACACACGGAGCAAAGACGTATGAAGATGTGCGTGACCGGCGTATGATGCAGGGTGTTTCCGAGAGCGTACCAGTGCAGTGAGAGTGGTTGGCGCGAGCGAATGACCTAGGCGTGGGGACGAGAATGCGATCGTGCGGCGACAGGGCGAGTCCTTACCAGCCCAGCCCTCCTTACAGTGCATCGCCTTACCAGTGCAGTGGGAATGGTTGGCGCGCTCGAATGACCCGGGCGTGGGGACGAGAATGCGATCGTGCGACAGGGCGTGGTTCAGCCACGCGCTCATGATGTGAATCTGCGACCCGATGCCATTTCTGCGGTTCGGCCACGGCACCACCAGCAGGCGCCGCCCGCCGCACTCCCCCCTGGCGGCTTGCGCTGATGCGGAAGGCGGGGGCGCAGGGAACTGGTGCAGCCAGATGTCGGCCTGCGCCTGGCGCGTGGCGGCAAGATTGGCGGCGTCCGATCCGCGCACCCAAGGCGGTTGCGGGTAGCGGCACCCTCTCGGCGCGCTGGTCCATGCTGGCGCCTCCCCATGCGCTCCGCGCGCCTCTGTCTGCCGGCGGAACGCGCTGCGCGCCGAGCAGTCCTCGAGGTGCGGCGCGCGCGGCACGTTGGGCGGCAGGGCGATGCGCGCAGGCGGCTGCGCAGGGTCCGCGAGGCCGTAGACCCGCTCCCAGGCCTGGCGGAGAGGAGATTGTGGGAGGGGAGGGGCGGGGGGAGGGAGGCGACTTTTGAGAATTCTGAAAAGTCCGCGAGGCCGTAGACCCGCTCCCAAGCCTGGCGGGCAGAGGACGCGAGAGGGGAATGGGAAGGAAAGGGGAGGGGAGGGGGAGGTAAGAAGGAGGGAAGGGGAGGGAAGGGGAGTGGATGGGAAGGAAAGAGGGAGGGGATGGGGAGGATAGGCGAGGCAAAGGGGCGTGGGTAGGGAGGGGAACTTCCCTTTGAAGGGGTGGGAAGGGTAAGAGAGGGATCATCAACTACCGCGTACACTACTGCCAATGCACGACTGCATCGTAATTTCTTGATCCCTATATTTTTTAATGCATGTTGCCGACGACGCAGAAAGCCGTCTATCAGTTTCGACGGCGAGGATGAGGGGGATCAATCGTACGCGATATAGCTCCATGGACCGCTCGAAGGAAGGCAGCTCGTTGGCGCGCCCCGAGTTGTCGTCGTCTTGCGGCATTTCGATGTACTCCTGCTCTTGCTGCAGCTTCCCCGTCATTCCGCGCCGGCCTCCTAACGGCGCCGCTTGTATCGCGAACACGCAAGCCAACAGCATGAGCAGAAGTGTAGCATTCATATTCATTCCTCTGCTACAGTGTCCAACCGTAAGGCCGGTCATTTTGGCCTTTAGAGAGCGATAGACTTCACGTCGCGGGACGGGGCGTCGGCTGAAATGACGACAAAAGCAAGAATCTTGGATCCCTTCCGTGTTAGCTGCGCGTACTAAGCATTTTGAGTCGATTAATTGCAACTCATACTAACCACGAGTGGCGGGGAAAATTGCTTTTCCCGTACAGATTCTGTAAAAGCCGTTTTGATTTTTCTCAAGGACTCTCGGGATTTGCGCGTGAATTTGTGGAGCAGCTGAGCACAGGGTGCGTGTGTATGCGCGGCTGCTTTTGACGGGGAAAAAAAATCCGTGATTACGAGCGGAAGAGCGCGAGCAGACCGACAATTGTGATGGCGATGCGGAATGAAAGCAGACCCGTTTATATCCCTCGACTGGGCCCATGCCGGTGAGTGTGGCCTGATCAAACAAAGCTGGAAAGGGGGACAGTGTGCCTCCGAACAAGTATGGTATGGATGGGTGTGGTCAGTCACGAATGCTTTTCTTTTGAGTTTTACCACCGTACAAAGGGTTCGAGTAAGATAGAGTATGCTTTTGTGCGGTACTCGGATCAAACAGGTCCGTGCGAAGGCCTGATGTGCCACGGCATTGCTGGCAAGCAGGCAGGCAGCCGAGCCGCAGGAGGCGATTGCTGGAGTGTTGCGTGTCGCTAGCTGTCCTGAGTGTGGAGCGGAGCATCCAATCAGTGCACTCCGCCCCACCAGAAAAGTCAGCCGACTGAAATACAAATATTTTCTTACTAGCAGATCCGGTATTTCGAACATTCTTAAAATCATAAAACATGTGAGGTTTGCTCAATACACGAAATTCGGAAATTCTGAAACGCCTAGCATCCTGCAATTCTTGGTTTACATAGTACCCCCTGACACCTTGTATTGATGCATGGCCGCATAACGAGGATATTACCCACAACGCATTAGTTGTCAGAACTACACATCCCACTTAGTTTTGCTCCTCTCTTACCCCTGAGCCCGGCCTGCACGTACAGCTGAACCTGCACCTGAAAGCCTTTCGATGTAGCTCTCGAAATTATATTATATATCCTTTTTAGTCTCCCCCCGCTTCAGCCGGCAGCCATGTCGGGAAATTTGCCTCGTCGGGACTCGCACCTTCAAGCAATTGTGGTTCTTGTCGCGTCGCTCCTCGCGCTGTCGCTCGCCGTGTCGCAGACCGTCGCAGAGTCCACTTTCAAGTCGCAGAAGAGGTAACGATAGTAGTTTGCTTGTTTTTTTTTTTGTCGTTTAGGCGGCAGTATGCGCCACTCGAAACGCTAGAAACGTCGCACTTGAGGGGAGGGGCCGCGACGCGATTGCAGCTGATTTAGAAACCAAGGGCGAGTGCGCGAGGTGGAAGGAGCCGAGCACTGAAATCGACGGCGGAAGTTAGACGTTGGAATGTGGGGAGGGGAGAGTCTTAAGACGTCTCAAAACGTCTCAAAAGAGTTTTGAGACGTCTCGAATGTGGGGAGGGAAGGGTCCGGGTGAGAAAGAGGATGGGCGGATGGATGGGGAAGGGGGGAGATGGGGAAAGGGGGGGGGAGGGGTGGCATGGAAGGGGGGGAGGGAACAGAGGCTGGTGGTTGCTACATAGCGCGGGCTGCTGTGTGGGTGAATGCTGGGGAAAGACATTGCTGTATGTAAATGGCTGGAAGGTTACCTGATTATATGAGCACATAGTTAAAACCATGCCACCACCATGACATCACCATGACATCACCATGACATCACCATGACATCACCACCATGAATCACCTGGCACCATCACTCACCAGACTACCATCATAGCTTGCCCCATCATATCTCATCATGCACATATTTCTGCCATCTGATGCTCATGCCTTACTCCTTTCCCTCCCACTCTTCACCACCCTTATTCCATCCTCACACCACTCCTCACCACCCTCTCACACCACGGTCACACCACCCGCACACCACTCGTCACCGCATCCTAATGCGACATGCCATTCCCATGCATCATCCCTATCAAGCAGCCTCATCGTTATCCCATGCATCATCCCATGGCAGACTCATCGTTTCAGGTGATAACCAACAGCAGAAGCATGAGGATGGGAACGCAACGAGGGTGCAAGCAGGCCCAGGCATCCCCATTGATCCCTCTCGCATCACTCGCCTGTCGTGGCAGCCGAGGTGAGGTGGAGGATGGGATGGGGACAGCAGGATGGGGAGGCAACGATGGTGCAGGCAGGTAGGGACCAGGCATTCCCATTGATCCCTCTCGCATCACCTGCCTGTCATGGTAGCCGAGGTGAGGTGTGGGGAAGGCTGATGAGAACCAAGGGAGTGTGAGTGGAGGGGGAGTGGTGGGTAGAGGACAGATTGGTGTTTGAGGAATGAAGGGAAGGGGAAGTGGGGGGGCGAGCAAGGTGGGATGCGGTGTGAGGTGCGGTTTGAGGGATGCGGCGTAGGGGATGCTCTGTCTTCGCTTTCGCTCTTCCCTCCAGTTCAGTTCAGTGAGAGTGTGCTGCTGCACGCACTCAGTTCAGTGCAGCACGACACACATGCATGCAATGCCATCCAGCTTGAAATTGACTTAAACTGTCTGAAGAGCATACGCTTAGGATTGACATAGATGTTACTTTCCTTCTACCTTCCCTTTTTGGGATGACATGAATGCTACATCACTGCCACCATACAATGCCGCCCAATGCCACACAACTGCCGCACTCAATGCCACCCAATGCCACCCAATGCCACCCAATGCCACCCAATGCCACCCAGTGCCACCCAATGCCACCCAATGCCGCCCAATGCCGCCCACGCAGGGCCTTCCTGTACTCGGGATTTCTCTCCCACGACGAGTGCGATCATCTCATCACCCTCGTAAGCCTCTCTTTCCCTTCGCTCCCCCTCACTCCTTTGCCACGGCTCAATTCCGCCTCACTTGGACGTCTCAAAACGCTGCTGCTCAAGGCGACGCGGTCATCTGTGCCAGGCAAGGCAACGGCTCACCCTGTCCTTTCTCCCTCGTTTCAGTCACAATTCTGTGGCCCCTTCTTCCCACCCTCCCCCTTGTTGCATGAGGCCTGCAGCAATGTAACACAGTCATTCATGGCGGAGCGGACAACTAGTCGGGGGCACAACTCGACTTTAGAGGCACCTAAAAAATCAACAATCCCTCCCTTTCCCCACACACACCCCCCACATCCCTCCCGCCTCTACCCTCCCTTCCTCCCTCCTAGGCGCGTGACAAGGTAACACGCTCATCAGTGGCGGACAACGAGTCGGGCAAGAGCGTGTTGAGTGAGATCCGCACGAGCTCAGGCACATTTCTCAACAAGTATCAGGACGACATTGTGAAGCGCATAGAGGAGCGCATTGCAGCATGGGCCTTCCTCCCCAAAGGTACCCCTCCGCCCCAGAAGGTATGCTTGCTCTACAACAGTACCCCTCCTCCCTGCTGTAACTGCGCCAGCTCAGGCGCGTTTCTGAACAAGTACCAGGATGACATGGTGAAGCGCATAGAGGAGCATGGCAAGGCGCATAGAGGTGCGCACGTATTCCACCCCAAGAGCGCCCCTCCTAACAATCACCAGAGCATGGCAAGGCCATTCAGATCCTCCAGAACGGGTGGATGGACAACGCTCACTTTGACTATCACTCGTTGATGCTCTCCCTCCCTCCCTCCCTCCCTCCCTCCCCGTGTGCCGCATGAGAGCACGGTGGAGCCAGTCAGATCCTCAAGTACGAGACCGGACAGAAGTACGACCACATTCCTTGATGCCTTTGCTTTCTTCTCTCACCTCGCTTTCTTTTTTCCCCTTTCTCCCGTCCACCAGAGCACGGCGAAGCGATCCAAATACTAAAGTACGAGATCGGGCAGAAGTACGAGGCCCACTTTGACTATTTCTTTGACTCAGTCAACACTCAGATGGGCGGCCACAGGGTGGCGACGGTGCTCATGTACCTGACCACGGTGGAGGCAGGAGGGGAGACGGTGTTTCCTAATGCACAGGTGTGTACCGTGAGAAAACAGGGATGGGTGTGGCAGCATACAGATGGGCGGCCACAGGGTGGCAACGGTGCTCATGTACCTGACCACGGTGGAGGCAGGAGGGGAGACATTCTTTCCCAATGCGCAGGTATGTACAATGTGGTAACAGGGGTGGGTGTGTCAACACACAGTTGGACAGCCATGGATCGCGACGGTGCTCATGTATCTGACAAGTGTGGAGGCAGAGGGAGACCGTCTTTCCCAATGCGCAGGTGATCTGGTGCTGTTTCAGTGTGCCTCGTGTGCCTCGTGTGCCTCGTGTGCCTCGTGTGCCTCGTGTGCCTCGTGTGCCTCGTGTGCCTCGTGTGCCGTTGGGGGCACCTGGATGAGTGGCACCTCGTGTGCCGTTGTGTTCATGTTGGTACCGGTATGGGGGTATGCATGTAAACACACAGATGGCCGGTCATAGGGTGGCAACGGTGCTCATGTATCTGACCACGGTGGAAGAGGGGGGAGAGACCATGTTTCCCAGTTCACAGGTGTGTGTTCATTGCCTCGTGTGGTATTGGTGGTTGGTGGTTAGTTGGTGTTATGGGACAGCAGGGGTGGGTGTGTCATCTCTCAGATGGGTGCGCACAGAGTGACGACGGTGCACTTGTTTCTCACCACGGTGGAGGAAGGAGGGGAGACGGTGGTTCCCAGTTCACAGGTGTGTGTGTGTGTGTGTGTGTGACTTCAGTGGTTCATTTGGTGGGTGGGAGTGTGAGAGGGGCTAGGCATGTAAACACACGCAGATGGGCGGCCACCGGGTGGCCTCCGTGCTCGTGTAGGAGGAGTGGTTCACGGGTCCTTGTTGTGCACGGGTGTATTTGACCACCGTGGAGGAGGGAGGGGAGACCGTGTTTCCGAGTTCACAGGAGTGTGTTCAGTGGTGGTGCTGCTGGTACTGGTGACTATGCATGTCAACACTCACAGATGGGCGGCCACACACAAAGGCAGGCAGGCACAGGTTGGCGACTCTGCTGATGTATTCACCCAGTCTGGATAACGGAGGGGAAATCTTCATTCCTGCTGGGGAGGTGGCTTTTGAGACGTATCAAGAAACAAGTTTTTGAGACGTATCAAGAAACAAGTTTTTGAGACGTATCAAGAAACAAGTTTTTGAGACGTATCAAGAAACAAGTTTTTGAGACGTATCAAGAAACAAGTTTTTGAGACGTATCAAGAAACAATTTTTTGAGACGTATCAAGAAACAAGTTTTTGAGACATATCAAGAAACAAGTTTTTGAGCCGTATCAAGAAACAAGTTTTTGAGACGTATCAAGAAACAAGTATTTGAGACGTCTCAATAAACAAAAATTTGAGGCGTCTCAAAACACAGGTTGGCGACTCTGCCGATGTATTCAGCCAGTCTGGATAGAGGTGGGGTCATTCCTGGTGGGCAGGTGGCTTGGTAGTGTTGAGGCGACTGCGGGGATGGATGTGTGTGTGTGTGTGTGTGTGTGTGTGTGTGTGTGTGTGTGTGAGCATGCATGCAGGCATGTGAAGGGAATGTGCGAACATTAGGTAGCGAGGTGATTGATGCTGCTTTTCATACTGTGGGTGTTTATTTCCCTCCCCACTTTCACCTCACCCCTCGCCTCCTCACCCCTCTCTCACTCCCTCTCTCTCTTCACTCCTCTCCTCCTTCCCACTGGCCCTTCACTATCTGTTCGCCCCCTATCCCTCTCCCATCCCCCTCCACATGCCCAATTATCTCTCCCCACCCATATCTCACCGCCCAGCCCAGGTCTCCTATGGACCTCACTATGCCTGGCTGCGCACGCACAAGCTTGCCCCCACACTCCCTCTAACTACCCTGCTCCTCTCCCCTCTCCCCTGCTCCTTTCCGCACTCCCCCACATCTGCCCTTCCCCGCTCCCCCACATGTGCCCTTCCTCACTCCGCCCCCTTGCGGCCCAGCCTATGCCTGCTATAGGCGTTACTGAATCTGACTGGTGCACACAGGGCTGATTCTTGGGAAGTTTAAAACCTGGCCTGACTGCACACAGGCCTGCCTACAATGGGCGTCACTGGATCTGACTGTGTGCAGGCAGGCCTGCCCCCCCACTTTGTCTAACTCCTCGCCCCTCTCCCCCCTTCCCTATGCCCCCTCACCGCACAGCCTAGGCCTCCCACGGACGCCACAGCGTCTGAATGTGCGAACAGAGGTCTGGCAGGTGCGTGTGCTCGCAGGGAGGTGCTAGTATGGGGTGCTGGTAAGGGGTGGACTTGCATGTGCAGGTGTGTGTGGGTGTGTGCGGGTGTGTGCGGGTGTGTGTGGGTGTGTGCGGGTGTATGCGGGTGTGTGCGGGTGTGTTCGGGTGTGTGTGGGTGTGTGTGGGTGTGTTGGTGTGTGTGGGTGTGTTCGGGTGTGTGTGGGTGTGTTGGTGTGTGTGGGTGTGTTCGGGTGTGTGTGGGTGTGTGCGGGTGTGTGTGGGTGTGTGTGGGTGTGTGTGGGTGTGTGCGGGTGTGTTCGGGTGTGTGTGGGTGTGTTGGTGTGTGTGGGTGTGTTCGGGTGTGTGTGGGTGTGTTGGTGTGTGTGGGTGTGTTCGGGTGTGTGTGGGTGTGTGTGGGTGTGTGTGTGAATGTGCGAACAGAGGTCTGGCAGGTGCGTGTGCTCGCAGGGAGGTGCTAGTATGGGGTGCTGGTAAGGGGTGGACTTGCATGTGCAGGTGTGTGTGGGTGTGTGCGGGTGTGTGCGGGTGTGTGTGGGTGTGTGCGGGTGTGTGCGGGTGTGTGCGGGTGTGTTCGGGTGTGTGTGGGTGTGTGTGGGTGTGTTGGTGTGTGTGGGTGTGTTCGGGTGTGTGTGGGTGTGTTCGGGTGTGTGTGAGTGTGTGCGGGTGTGTGTGGGTGTGTGTGGGTGTGTGTGGGTGTGTGCGGGTGTGTGTGGGTGTGTGTGGGTGTGTGTGGGTGTGTGCGGGTGTGTTCGGGTGTGTGTGGGTGTGTTGGTGTGTGTGGGCGTGTTCGGGTGTGTGTGGGTGTGTTGGTGTGTGTGGGTGTGTTCGGGTGTGTGTGGGTGTGTTGGTGTGTGTGGGTGTGTTCGGGTGTGTGTGGGTGTGTGCGGGTGTGTGTGGGTGTGTGTGGGTGTGTGTGGGTGTGTGCGGGTGTGTTCGGGTGTGTGTGGGTGTGTTGGTGTGTGTGGGTGTGTTCGGGTGTGTGTGGGTGTGTTGGTGTGTGTGGGTGTGTTCGGGTGTGTGTGGGTGTGTGTGGGTGTGTGTGGGTGTGTGTGGGTGTGTGTGGGTGTGTGTGGGTCACCACTGACCAGTCATCGCCACATGCCGTCTCCCACTGCCCTCTCCATCCTCCCCTCTTCCTTCCCCCACTGCCTTCTCACCTTCTCCCCTCCTATCTTTCCCACCAGTCAAGCCTCAAAAGGGCGACGCACTGTTTGTTCTATTCGCTGCACCTGGACGGCACCACCGACCAGCCGCCACCTGTCCCAATTGATCTGCACCCCTCCCCCCCCCCCCCCCCCCCCCTCCACAGTTCTCCCCGTTCCCCCTGTCTGCTCTCCCACCCTCTCTCTGCCACCAGTCAAGCCTCAGAGGGTAAATGCTCTCCTCTTCTACTCCCTTCACCCGGACAGCACCACGGACCAGTTATCATCGCACGCCCTCTCCCAATGACTTCTGCATCCCCTCCTCTTCCATCCCCCCCCATTTCGCTTCCCCCCCACACTCTTTCCCACCCCCCCCTCGACCTCTCCCCTCCGCTTGCCAGTCAAGCCTCAGAAGGGCGACGCGCTGCTTTTCTACTCCCTCCACCCGGACGGCACCACGGACCAGTCATCATTGCACGCCAGCTGTCCCGTCATCCGCGGGGAGAAGTGGTCGGCAACCAAGTGGATCCACGTGCGATCCTTTGAGGCGCGGCCCTTGGCACATGGCTGTGAGGATTTGAACCCTAAATGCGAGGAGTGGGCGGCGCTTGGCGAGTGTAAAAAGAACCCCGCGTATATGCTTGGGGATGGGGCGTACACTGGGAACTGTAGAAAAGCTTGTAAGGCATGTTAGAGGAATTGTTTTGTGTTTCTGGGCCCTGCCAAAAGCGCTCTGTTTTCTATGAGTGCTACGGTATGTGACGGCATAAGAAGAATAGTTTTCTGCTTGAATGGTAGACCGAATACAGACACTTAAGGGAGATGAATTACAAACGAGCATGAGTTTCTGTCTAGGGACCTATCCCGCATAAGGAGTGGCGTCTCGGCTCTGTTACGTTAATCGTTACCAGTGCCGCATGCCCCTGGCGAAGCCTTTTAATTCTTCGCGAAGCTGAGCTGGCCCTTGGAGATCACTTTCGCGAGAACTCGCGCGCCTTGTAGTCGGCACTTGAACCTTGCTCGCGTTTCATCAAAGTGTCGTTTTCAGGCCCCGACGAAACCGCCAGCAATGACATAAAATGGCGCGAAGAATACCCCAAGTTCGCAATTTCGGATTGGTCGTTCGACGAACCACGACGACGCGGCGTTTCAAAATGCCTTGCGAGGCGAACCGACGTTACAACGTTGTGGTAACTTGGAATGCGTAGACGGCTAATATATGAAGTGATCTGTTTAGTTTCGAAGCGGCAGGCGGCGCGACGGTTGCCTGACGTTGAGGGGGACGTGTTGTTAACGGCATACGTCCTAGCATTTTAGCGACGCATCTAGCCGTCCGTCAGGATGATCGACGGCGCAGCGCTGCTCCCCGCGCAGGTGCTGCGCAACCTCTCCGACAAACTCTACGACAAGCGCAAGGCGGCCGCGCTCGAGGTGCGCGGACAGTAGGGGAGGGGAAAGAGGGGGTAAAGGGAGCAGGGGAGAAACAACGGCTTTTTCTCGTTACATCTCTCGGGCACTCTCTGTTTTTCCCATCCGAGAGAGTGCTGTGTGACTCCCGCCAGATAGAAACTGCAGTGAAGGCGGCTATAGCAGAGGGGAACGATGGATGAACGCCTTTCCCTCGCTCACTCTCTCTTTCCCTCAAGCACCCACACCCTCCTCCTCACCTCCTCCTTACACCCCCACCCCCCCTGTGCTCTCTGTGCTGTGCAGATAGTGACAGCAGTGAATGCGGCTGTAGCAGAGGGGAACGACGAACGGATGAACGCCTTTCTCCCCTTCACTCTCTTCTCCCCTCACTCTCGTCTCCCCTTCACTCTCTTCTCCCCTCACTCTCTTCTGCCCTTCACTCTCTTCTCCCCTCACTCACGCCCTTCTCCGCATCCCTCCCCCTCCTCCTTGTGCTGCCCCATGTTGTGCAGATTGAGACGGCAGTGAAAGCGGCTGTAGCAGAGGGAAACGATGAGCGGATCAACGCAATCATTTCCCTGCTGGCCAATGATTACGCCACGTCAGCACAGCCGAACCAGAGAAAGGTGGGTGGCAGAGGGGACACGGAGGGAGCAAGGAGGGGCGCGGACGAATTGCTCTACCCTCCAATCTACCTACAAGCTACTGTTGCTGCCCTGCCCCCATTCTCGCGCACATCAACTAAACCAAACCTCCCAGCGCAATGCCTTTTCCCCGTCTTCCCCCACTCTCTCCTTCTCCTGCCTGCACCCGCCCCCCCGCGCCCCTCTTGACCATGGCATGGCCCCAGGGGGGTCTCATAGGGCTGGCGGCCGTCACGGTGGGGCTGGGACCTGACGCCAGTCAGTACCTCGATGTACGTTGGGGGGGGGCATTGAGCGATTGGGCATGGGAGGATGCTTTCATTTCATGGCACTGCATGTGGCATGGGGATGTCTGCGCCCTTCTCTCATAGGGCTGGCGGCGGTCACGGTGGGGCTGGGCCCTGACGCCAGCCAGTACCTCAACGTACGTGTGGGGGAGTAAGGAGGGGCGGGTTGGGTAGTGCAATACACGTAGTCATGGTGCAATACACGTAGTCATGGTGCAATACACGTAGTCATGGTGCTCTCATGGCTCGTAGGGCTGGCGGCTGTCACAGTGGGGCGGTTCCCTGACACCATCCAGTACCTTGATGTTCGTGTGGTGGTGGGGGGGGGGAGAGAGGGGCGTGGTGTGTGTGCTGTGCTGATGCACTTTTGAGAATTCTCAAAAGAGAGGGGGGCGTGGTGTGTGTGCTGTGCTGATGCAGTTTTGAGAATTCTCAAAAGAGAGGGGGGCGTGGTGTGTGTGCTGTGCTGATGCAGTTTTGAGAATTCTCAAAAGAGAGGGGGGCGTGGTGTGTGTGCTGTGCTGATGCAGTTTTGAGAATTCTCAAAAGAGAGGGGGGCGTGGTGTGTGTGCTGTGCTGATGCACTTTTGAGAATTCTCAAAAGAGAGGGGGGCGTGGTGTGTGTGCTGTGCTGATGCAGTTTTGAGAATTCTCAAAAGAGAGGGGGGCGTGGTGTGTGTGCTGTGCTGATGCAGTTTTGAGAATTCTCAAAAGAGAGGGGGGCGTGGTGTGTGTGCTGTGCTGATGCAGTTTTGAGAATTCTCAAAAGAGAGGGGGGCGTGGTGTGTGTGCTGTGCTGATGCACTTTTGAGAATTCTCAAAAGAGAGGGGGGCGTGGTGTGTGTGCTGTGCTGATGCACTTTTGAGAATTCTCAAAAGAGAGGGGGGCGTGGTGTGTGTGCTGTGCTGATGCACTTTTGAGAATTCTCAAAAGAGAGGGGGGCGTGGTGTGTGTGCTGTGCTGATGCAGTTTTGAGAATTCTCAAAAGAGAGGGGGGCGTGGTGTGTGTGCTGTGCTGATGCAGTTTTGAGAATTCTCAAAAGAGAGGGGGGCGTGGTGTGTGTGCTGTGCTGATGCACTTTTGAGAATTCTCAAAAGAGAGGGGGGCGTGGTGTGTGTGCTGTGCTGATGCAGTTTTGAGAATTCTCAAAAGAGAGGGGGGCGTGGTGTGTGTGCTGTGCTGATGCACGTGGGGATGGTGGTTCCATGTGCATGCCTTACCGTCGGAGTCTCATAGGGGTGGCGGCTGTGTGTGACAGTGGGGCTGGGCCCTGATGCCAGTCAGTACCTTGATGTATGTACGTGTGGGGGGGTGGGGGGGGGGCTGCGGAACGAGGAGGTGTGGAATGGAAGGAATGTTGGTGCCCTAGTGGCTGGCGGCTGTGACTGTGAGGCTGGGGCCAGACGCCAGTCATGTTGATGCTGCTTTTGAGTCAGTACCTTGATGTACGTGGGGGGGGTGGGGAGCCTGGCAGAAGGGGTATGGAATGATGCACCCGTTGGCCTTGCCTGTGGTATGGGGATGCGCACACACACACACTTCCGCCTTTCTCTGGGGTCTCATAGGGCTGGCGGCTGTCACACTGTGGGGCTGCCTGGGCCCTGACGCCAACTCGATGTACGTTGGGGGGGTTGGCAGGGTGGGAATGGGATGGGATGGGATGGGATGGGATGGGATGGGATGGTGCATCCATGATTCATGGCGCTGCATGCAGTATGGGGGAGTGTACTGTGTACATGCACGCCTCACTCGCTGTTCCTCATTGAGCTGGCAGCTGTGATGGTCACTGGGGTGGGGGGGGCTGGGGGCCTTGAAGTTGATTCCAGCTACCACCTCCGTCCATGTATGTGAGCGGCTTTCTGGATTCCAACTGCTTCATTTCAGCCGATTTTCCCTTGAGTGCTTCAGCGTTTTTATGCATTATATTCCATGCCATTGACAGATTATCTCACGATGTTCTCAGCCCCTTGCTGCACTCGAGCTTCCTAACCTTCCCTGCCTGTCCGCCTCCCGCATGTGTACCCCCCCATGCACTGCATCCCATCCCACTACCACCCCACCCCCCCGTCCCCACATCATAATGCCTGGGCATCAACTCTTTCCGCTTCCATCCATACACTCTTAACTGTCCGAGCCCTTTTTCTTGAGTCGACTCAAAAACACGCTTCCATCCATACACTCTTAACTGTCCGAGCCCTTTTTCTTGAGTCGACTCAAAAACACGCTTCCATCCATACACTCTTAACTGTCCGAGCCCTTTTTCTTGAGTCGACTCAAAAACACGCTTCCATCCATACACTCTTAACTGTCCGAGCCCTTTTTCTTGAGTCGACTCAAAAACACGCTTCCATCCATACACTCTTAACTGTCCGAGCCCTTTTTTGCCCGTTGCTTGCTTCCTACCCTGGTGTTCCCCTCTCTGTGCGCGCCATGCACAGCACTGCACAGCACTGCACAGCACTGCACAGCACTGCACAGCACTGCACAGCACTGCACAGCACTGCACAGCACTGCACAGCACTGCACAGCACTGCACAGCACTGCACAGCACTGCACAGCACTGCACAGCACTGCACCTCATCCACCCCCACCCCAGCGCATCGTGCCAGAGGTGCTCAAGTCGTACCTCGGACTCGGACAGCCGAGTGCGCTCCTGTCACTCCCCCTTCCCCCTGCCCTCCACCCCCCTCCGCCACACAAAATTTCTCCCTACCAGCGCATCGTGCCGGAGGTGCTCAAGTCGTTCTTGGATTCAGACAGCCGAGTGCGCTACTACGCCTGCCACTCCCCCTTCCCCCCGCCCTCAATCGCCCTCCCCCCATCCTTCCCCCCTCCCTTCCCCACCCACAACACTCTCTCCATCCCCCAGCGCATCGTGCCAGAGGTGCTCAAGTCGTTCTCAGACTCGGACAGTCGAGTGCGCTACTACGCCTGTGAGGCGCTCTACAACATCGCCAAGGTGATGCCCTCACCCTGACCTGCTGTCTGCGTGCCATTGCATCAAGGTGACTTGTGAGTTGACTCATATGGACAGCCGGGTGCGCTACTACGCCTGTGAAGCGCTCTACAACATCGCCAAGGTGACCTTCTTGCTCCTGGTTTTTCAGTCGATTTTGGGGGGGGTTGGGGTTTGGCAGGTTCGGGTTTTTGGGTTTCGGGTTTGGGGTTTGAAGTTTTTGGTTGGAGGGTTGGGGTTTCTTAACTTTGGGATTTGGGTTTTTACCCACTCAAAGCGCACTTGTGCCCCACAACACAACATTGCCAAGCCCGCGTTTGATATTTGAAGGAGGATTGACCAGTGAGTGTGAGCTAAGAAGCTTTTGGTTGAGTGCTGGGTGTGTGCTGCGTTGAGTACAAGTGGAGGTGGTTTGGTCTAAAGAACCACTTTGATACCAAACCAACTTTTGCGCATTCCAGAAGAGTTCTGAGGCACCTCAAAGGTCGTCGTTGTGATGGCTTTTAAGGCACCTTAGAAGTGGACCAAACAACCACTGTAATACAGCAGACAAACTTTTACAATTTTAATTGGAAAAGCCACGTGATAAAAGCTGGGTTTTGAGACGTCTCAAAACCCAACTTCTATCACGTGGCTTTTACACTCAGTGCAATCCATCGTGCATGCACCTAACCGCATGCGATGAGTCGATTTTTGAGTCGACTCAAAAATCGGCTTTCACACTCAGTGCAATCCATCGTGCATGCACCCCACTAAAATGTGTGGAATGAACCCTTACAAGAGGCAACTCATGATTTGATGCAGATGACAAGCATGCAACGTGGGCACAGCACAGTTCACACCCACTGTGCATCTTGCTTACACTCCCTCCCTCCCTCCCTCCGTCCTATCACCAGGTGACACGTGGCGACTTCATAGTGTTCTTTAATGACGTGTTCAACGCCCTGTGCAAGCTCTCTGCTGACCTGGACCCCAACGTGCAGTCCGCCGCCCACCTGCTGGACCGGCTTGTCAAGGTGAGGAGTGAGGGAGTGAGAGAGTTGGGGAGAAAGGGAGTGAGAGAGTTGGGGAGAAAGGGAGTGAGTGACCCCAACGTGCAATCCGCCACACACCTGCTCGACTGTCTCGTTAAGGTGCGGAATGAGTGTGTGTGTGAGTGGGTGGGTGAAAGAGTGGGCGAGTGATTGAGTAAATGAATGAGTGACCACCTGTCAATGGCAGCAAGGAGGAGGCTATTGATGCTGCAGGGTATTTTTGAGAATTCTCAAAAATACCCTGCAGGACCACCTGTCAATGGCAGCCAAGAGGCTATTGGAGGCAAGGAATCAGAACCCAGGATTTCTAACCTTTTAAGCCACCATCCACTCTATCATCACTCATTCCACACTCTCCCTCCATCCACCTGCTCCACCACCCCCCTTCTCTTACTCACCCTCTCTACTACAGGGCATAGTCACTGTCAGCGACCAATTCAGGTGCCCCTCCACCCCCGTACCGCAAGCACTTTCCTCCTACCACACTTAGTTTTTCTCCCACCCCCATGCCCTCCCAACCCCTTCTCATACTCACCCTCTCTACTACAGGACATAGTCACTGTCAGCGACCAATTCAGGTGCCCCCCCCGCCCGTCCCTGTCACTACCTCTCTCTGCCCACATCCACCCCCTTCACTTCTCACTTCCCGCCTCGCCTCCATTACTGCTCCCTCTTCTCGTTCCCATCCACATCCTTTCTCCTTCTCCTTTGTGGTTTGTTCCATTCAAGCATTTACTCTCTGCTGCTTCCGCTCTCCCATGTGGTTTGTTCCATTCAAGCATTTACTCTCTTGCACATTCCACTCACCCACCACTCTGCCGTCCGTCCGTTGGATCTAATCTACACCGTTCCCTCTCCGTTTCATCCCATTGCAACACTGCCTGCCTGCCCCAATTGCGACTCATTGCTCCCATGCTGCCTCAATCTTTTAGTCAGTTCAAAAGTAGGCTCAATTTTGACTCCACTTTCCCTTGCTCGAAAGTACCACGGTCAGGCGCAGCGCAGCCATGCCACCTCCTCCTGCTCGAAAGTAATACTTTGAGGCGCCTCAAAATACACCTCACTGCACGCGGATTTTGAGGCGCCTCAAAATACACCTCACTGCACGCGGATTTTGAGGCGCCTCAAAATACACGGTCAGGCGCAGGCATGCCACCTCCTCCTGCTCCAAAGTAATACACCTCGCCCTGGACCACTCTTTGCATCACCACAAGCCTTGACAGCACACCACCAATCTCTTTTTATAGCCCGCCTGAAAGAAATTCGTGGGTGGAGCTGCGATGTGGACATGACATGCTCCCCCCCATCCCCCATACCCCATGCATACAGCATAGGGGAATTCATTCCTTTGCTCCGGGCGCACATGAGTGTGCTCAACCCCTTGGTGCACCAGTTCCTTCCTCGTCGGCTGGATCACTGCTGTCCCGTGCCTCACACCCTGCGCCTGCCCTTGTCATGCCCCATACGCTTGTCTTTGTGCCCCATGACCTACACTGCTGTCCCGTGCCCCATCCCTTGCCTTGCCCTATCCCTTGTGCGTCATACCCTATCCTCCATGCCCCATGACCAAAACCTTCATCCTATCCCCGCACAGTATAGAAGAGTTCATTCCTTTGCTCCGGGAGCACATGAGTGTGCTCAACCCCTTCGTGCAGCAGTTCCTGGTCGGATGGATCACGGTGCTGGACAGCGTGCCTGACATTGACATGCTCGGCTTTCTGCCTGACCTGCTTGATGGTGGGTGCTCTGAACTTTGTATCTGCTTGATGGTGGGTGCTCTGAACTTTGTATCTGCTTGCAATTATGTGTGCGTACGTTCTTGTCGGATGGATCACGGTGCTGGACAGCGTGCCTGACATTGACATGCTCGGCTTTCTGCCTGACCTGCTTGATGGTGGGTGCTCTGAACTTTGTATCTGCTTGATGGTGGGTGCTCTGAACTTTGTATCTGCTTGCAATTATGTGTGCGTACGTTCTTGTCGGATGGATCACGGTGCTGGACAGCGTGCCTGACATTGACATGCTCGGCTTTCTGCCTGACCTGCTTGATGGTGGGTGCTCTGAACTTTGTATCTGCTTGATGGTGGGTGCTCTGAACTTTGTATCTGCTTGCAATTATGTGTGCGTACGTTCTTGTCGGATGGATCACGGTGCTGGACAGCGTGCCTGACATTGACATGCTCGGCTTTCTGCCTGACCTGCTTGATGGTGGGTGCTCTGAACTTTGTATCTGCTTGATGGTGGGTGCTCTGAACTTTGTATCTGCTTGCAATTATGTGTGCGTACGTTCTTGTCGGATGGATCACGGTGCTGGACAGCGTGCCTGACATTGACATGCTCGGCTTTCTGCCTGACCTGCTTGATGGTGGGTGCTCTGAACTTTGTATCTGCTTGATGGTGGGTGCTCTGAACTTTGTATCTGCTTGCAATTATGTGTGCGTACGTTCTTGTCGGATGGATCACGGTGCTGGACAGCGTGCCTGACATTGACATGCTCGGCTTTCTGCCTGACCTGCTTGATGGTGGGTGCTCTGAACTTTGTATCTGCTTGATGGTGGGTGCTCTGAACTTTGTATCTGCTTGCAATTATGTGTGCGTACGTTCTTGTCGGATGGATCACGGTGCTGGACAGCGTGCCTGACATTGACATGCTCGGCTTTCTGCCTGACCTGCTTGATGGTGGGTGCTCTGAACTTTGTATCTGCTTGATGGTGGGTGCTCTGAACTTTGTATCTGCTTGCAATTATGTGTGCGTACGTTCTTGTCGGATGGATCACGGTGCTGGACAGCGTGCCTGACATTGACATGCTCGGCTTTCTGCCTGACCTGCTTGATGGTGGGTGCTCTGAACTTTGTATCTGCTTGATGGTGGGTGCTCTAAACTTTGTATCTGCTTGCAATTATGTGTGCGTACGTTCTTGTCGGATGGATCACGGTGCTGGACAGCGTGCCTGACATTGACATGCTCGGCTTTCTGCCTGACCTGCTTGATGGTGGGTGCTCTGAACTTTGTATCTGCTTGATGGTGGGTGCTCTAAACTTTGTATCTGCTTGCAATTATGTGTGCGTACGTTCTTGTCGGATGGATCACGGTGCTGGACAGCGTGCCTGACATTGACATGCTCGGCTTTCTGCCTGACCTGCTTGATGGTGGGTGCTCTGAACTTTGTATCTGCTTGATGGTGGGTGCTCTGAACTTTGTATCTGCTTGCAATTATGTGTGCGTACGTTCTTGTCGGATGGATCACGGTGCTGGACAGCGTGCCTGACATTGACATGCTCGGCTTTCTGCCTGACCTGCTTGATGGTGGGTGCTCTGAACTTTGTATCTGCTTGATGGTGGGTGCTCTGAACTTTGTATCTGCTTGCAATTATGTGTGCGTACGTTCTTGTCGGATGGATCACGGTGCTGGACAGCGTGCCTGACATTGACATGCTCGGCTTTCTGCCTGACCTGCTTGATGGTGGGTGCTCTGAACTTTGTATCTGCTTGATGGTGGGTGCTCTGAACTTTGTATCTGCTTGCAATTATGTGTGCGTACGTTCTTGTCGGATGGATCACGGTGCTGGACAGCGTGCCTGACATTGACATGCTCGGCTTTCTGCCTGACCTGCTTGATGGTGGGTGCTCTGAACTTTGTATCTGCTTGATGGTGGGTGCTCTGAACTTTGTATCTGCTTGCAATTATGTGTGCGTACGTTCTTGTCGGATGGATCACGGTGCTGGACAGCGTGCCTGACATTGACATGCTCGGCTTTCTGCCTGACCTGCTTGATGGTGGGTGCTCTGAACTTTGTATCTGCTTGATGGTGGGTGCTCTGAACTTTGTATCTGCTTGCAATTATGTGTGCGTACGTTCTTGTCGGATGGATCACGGTGCTGGACAGCGTGCCTGACATTGACATGCTCGGCTTTCTGCCTGACCTGCTTGATGGTGGGTGCTCTGAACTTTGTATCTGCTTGATGGTGGGTGCTCTGAACTTTGTATCTGCTTGCAATTATGTGTGCGTACGTTCTTGTCGGATGGATCACGGTGCTGGACAGCGTGCCTGACATTGACATGCTCGGCTTTCTGCCTGACCTGCTTGATGGTGGGTGCTCTGAACTTTGTATCTGCTTGATGGTGGGTGCTCTAAACTTTGTATCTGCTTGCAATTATGTGTGCGTACGTTCTTGTCGGATGGATCACGGTGCTGGACAGCGTGCCTGACATTGACATGCTCGGCTTTCTGCCTGACCTGCTTGATGGTGGGTGCTCTGAACTTTGTATCTGCTTGATGGTGGGTGCTCTAAACTTTGTATCTGCTTGCAATTATGTGTGCGTACGTTCTTGTCGGATGGATCACGGTGCTGGACAGCGTGCCTGACATTGACATGCTCGGCTTTCTGCCTGACCTGCTTGATGGTGGGTGCTCTGAACTTTGTATCTGCTTGATGGTGGGTGCTCTGAACTTTGTATCTGCTTGCAATTATGTGTGCGTACGTTCTTGTCGGATGGATCACGGTGCTGGACAGCGTGCCTGACATTGACATGCTCGGCTTTCTGCCTGACCTGCTTGATGGTGGGTGCTCTGAACTTTGTATCTGCTTGATGGTGGGTGCTCTAAACTTTGTATCTGCTTGCAATTATGTGTGCGTACGTTCTTGTCGGATGGATCACGGTGCTGGACAGCGTGCCTGACATTGACATGCTCGGCTTTCTGCCTGACCTGCTTGATGGTGGGTGCTCTGAACTTTGTATCTGCTTGATGGTGGGTGCTCTAAACTTTGTATCTGCTTGCAATTATGTGTGCGTACGTTCTTGTCGGATGGATCACGGTGCTGGACAGCGTGCCTGACATTGACATGCTCGGCTTTCTGCCTGACCTGCTTGATGGTGGGTGCTCTAAACTTTGTATCTGCTTGCAATTATGTGTGCGTACGTTCTTGTCGGATGGATCACGGTGCTGGACAGCGTGCCTGACATTGACATGCTCGGCTTTCTGCCTGACCTGCTTGATGGTGGGTGCTCTGAACTTTGTATCTGCTTGATGGTGGGTGCTCTAAACTCTGTATCTGCTTGCAATTATGTGTGCGTACGTTCTTGTCGGATGGATCACGGTGCTGGACAGCGTGCCTGACATTGACATGCTCGGCTTTCTGCCTGACCTGCTTGATGGTGGGTGCTCTGAACTTTGTATCTGCTTGATGGTGGGTGCTCTGAACTTTGTATCTGCTTGCAATTATGTGTGCGTACGTTCTTGTCGGATGGATCACGGTGCTGGACAGCGTGCCTGACATTGACATGCTCGGCTTTCTGCCTGACCTGCTTGATGGTGGGTGCTCTGAACTTTGTATCTGCTTGATGGTGGGTGCTCTGAACTTTGTATCTGCTTGCAATTATGTGTGCGTACGTTCTTGTCGGATGGATCACGGTGCTGGACAGCGTGCCTGACATTGACATGCTCGGCTTTCTGCCTGACCTGCTTGATGGTGGGTGCTCTGAACTTTGTATCTGCTTGATGGTGGGTGCTCTGAACTTTGTATCTGCTTGCAATTATGTGTGCGTACGTTCTTGTCGGATGGATCACGGTGCTGGACAGCGTGCCTGACATTGACATGCTCGGCTTTCTGCCTGACCTGCTTGATGGTGGGTGCTCTGAACTTTGTATCTGCTTGATGGTGGGTGCTCTGAACTTTGTATCTGCTTGCAATTATGTGTGCGTACGTTCTTGTCGGATGGATCACGGTGCTGGACAGCGTGCCTGACATTGACATGCTCGGCTTTCTGCCTGACCTGCTTGATGGTGGGTGCTCTGAACTTTGTATCTGCTTGATGGTGGGTGCTCTGAACTTTGTATCTGCTTGCAATTATGTGTGCGTACGTTCTTGTCGGATGGATCACGGTGCTGGACAGCGTGCCTGACATTGACATGCTCGGCTTTCTGCCTGACCTGCTTGATGGTGGGTGCTCTGAACTTTGTATCTGCTTGATGGTGGGTGCTCTGAACTTTGTATCTGCTTGCAATTATGTGTGCGTACGTTCTTGTCGGATGGATCACGGTGCTGGACAGCGTGCCTGACATTGACATGCTCGGCTTTCTGCCTGACCTGCTTGATGGTGGGTGCTCTGAACTTTGTATCTGCTTGATGGTGGGTGCTCTGAACTTTGTATCTGCTTGCAATTATGTGTGCGTACGTTCTTGTCGGATGGATCACGGTGCTGGACAGCGTGCCTGACATTGACATGCTCGGCTTTCTGCCTGACCTGCTTGATGGTGGGTGCTCTGAACTTTGTATCTGCTTGATGGTGGGTGCTCTGAACTTTGTATCTGCTTGCAATTATGTGTGCGTACGTTCTTGTCGGATGGATCACGGTGCTGGACAGCGTGCCTGACATTGACATGCTCGGCTTTCTGCCTGACCTGCTTGATGGTGGGTGCTCTGAACTTTGTATCTGCTTGATGGTGGGTGCTCTGAACTTTGTATCTGCTTGCAATTATGTGTGCGTACGTTCTTGTCGGATGGATCACGGTGCTGGACAGCGTGCCTGACATTGACATGCTCGGCTTTCTGCCTGACCTGCTTGATGGTGGGTGCTCTGAACTTTGTATCTGCTTGATGGTGGGTGCTCTAAACTTTGTATCTGCTTGCAATTATGTGTGCGTACGTTCTTGTCGGATGGATCACGGTGCTGGACAGCGTGCCTGACATTGACATGCTCGGCTTTCTGCCTGACCTGCTTGATGGTGGGTGCTCTGAACTTTGTATCTGCTTGATGGTGGGTGCTCTAAACTTTGTATCTGCTTGCAATTATGTGTGCGTACGTTCTTGTCGGATGGATCACGGTGCTGGACAGCGTGCCTGACATTGACA